CATTTTGTCCCTCCCTAAGCTCCACCACATCTGACATGTTGAATCTTTCATAAATTTAGAACACATGATTTTCAAGAATATGGCAGTATGGAATAATTGTTTGGCCCGTAATGTTTACAATGTTATTTATGGAATAACTATCATAAATAGAAAAGATAATTATATGAAAGGTACAAGTCCATGCAAAAATCTTACAAAGCTAATGAGAATCGTTTTTTTCCAAAGCTAAGTTCTACAATTAAGGGCTTCTTTCAAGTGAGGTATGAAAGCAAAGAAATTGCATAGTTGAAATATCACCGGCTTGCTAATCCTAACCAAAAAACACGATGGTTGTTGAAAGGAGGCATATTGATATATATTTTTTATGTTAGACATGAAAAACACATGAATTAGGCCAGGGTAGGGTCTCTAGATCAGAGACACAAGGGAGATAGAGTTGAGACAGAATCCATTGGAGCTTAAAATTTCCACGAGCTAGAGAGTTCACATTTGGTTAACAATATTGCTTTGCGGCCATCGTTCTTTATACGATATTGCAATCCTGCATAGATATTGACGTGGCCATTCCATAGAAGGCTGATGGAGTACTGATGTACCGCCATCGTACGAAAATTCATCGTATGTGTAGCAATGCTCTTTGGTTAACTCCATTAATTCCCACATGTTAAGTGTCTTATATCCGAATTTGTGAAGAAAAAAATCCAAAGGGCAGAAATAAATTTATTTTTCACTTCAAATTTTAATTTTATATTTTTCCTTCGAAGCTGTTTGTTCGAAAGGGGACCCAACTCTGTTGCCTTGCTCCATGAGGCAAACACAAACACAAACACAAACACACACAGTTGTTGTAGCACAAGCGTACGCATACAGTAGCTAGCTAGCAAAATACCACCAGTACTGTACCTTGTTAATGGCCAAGCTTAACCATGGGGGCCATTCTCCATGGCCGCCAGCGTGCAGGGCGCACACGCCACCCCTGTGCAGTGCCGTTCACCGACCGGCCCATGCGCGCACGCACGCAAGAAACCGCCTCGCCTCCTCGGGACAGCCTGATCCCACCGAGTACCCCACCACCCGACCCACCACCTTCGAGACCAACGGTCCGGACGGTGGCGACTGCCGCTCAATCGCGCGCTGACGTACGGCCTCGCTTACCCGGAGGAGGAGCAGAAATTTCGCGGCGATGCATGGTGCCGGGATCGTCCGTACGGGGCGCCATCATCATGCATGCATGTGCCCCCCGCGACGTGTCGACCGGCGGGCGGGGCGCCGATGGGCATCCGACGGCCGGAGACGTTGCGCCCCGTCGCGTCAAGCCGTCGCGTGGCGTGGCGTGGCGGTGGCGGTGTGGTGTGACATTACCTTTGACTGCGCTGCTGCTCTGCTCATGAATCAATCAGATGGATGGAGAGGGTGGCCTGCGATGGACCGGGGGGCACGAGAGGGGCGCTGCGCTGCGGGCGCGTAAATGCGCGGTGTGTAATGCGGTGCGCGCGCCTCGTCGTCAGCGGCGCGTCCCGTCCGGCCCGGCGCTGGCGACGGCAGGCAAGGGACCCGCCGGGATGGAGGATGGAGCTAGGCTGGCAGCTGGCGCGTCCCTTTCGTCGCTTTTGTTTCGTTTGTTGCCTTGCAATCAATCACCCCGGCCAAGCGCGCCGAGTTATTTCGACCGACCAACCCTACACGGAAACGTGTGTCAGCTCCATCGGCGGTATCGTTCGCGCCCCGCGCGACGGTGTGCGGGCCAGCGCGGAGTCGCACGGCCGCGCCCCACGGGACGCCGGCGCGGGCACGTCCGGTTCGGAAGCGGTGGAGGCGAGAGGCATGTCCTTTGACCACAGCTCTTTGTTGATTAAATTAAAAGCTCATTTTTTTCAAAAAGGGACGTTTTATTACTTAAAAGGTTTAAACATTACACCCGGCCTCTGCATATCTATGATGCACTCAGCCAAACAAGTTCTCTCACACAAACGAAAATTAAGAAGTCGAAATACAAAGAAACATGTAGAGTCTGTATAACGCCTAAAGCGGAGGTAGGCCAATCCTAAGATCATGCTGCCACCCATGTTGGGTAAAAATATCCCTAGTCGTATCCTTCAATTGTGTACACACCTCACACGTTGTAGAGAGGACAATAAACAAAGAGTCCCGGTACACCTGTAGATAACCTGCATGAGAGAAGTACTTTTATCGTTAAACACCTTATCATTTCTACATAGTCAAAGCGACCAAATAACGACAAGCGCTCCCACTCTAAGAATAGTTCTAAACCTGTAATCTATCCCATGTAACTAGTTGCCAAATACATTAGCAACACTGCAAGGAGGATACAAGCCGGAAGCTATCTGGATGGCTGACCATATAAAACGAGCCAATTTGCAATGGAAGAATAAATGTTTTATTGTCTCATCATGGTGACAAAAGGCACATTGCAGACTTCCATGCCAATTTCTCTTAATGAGGTTATCTTTAGTAAGAATGACTCCGCGACGAAGATATCATGCAAAGATTTTATTCTTTAGAGATATCTTCATCTTTCAGATCTTCTTATTATTATCAATTCGCACATCAGACTGGATTAATGCTCT